CAGCTGACTGAAGCTAACTGCCCCCTCATCGGGAGTGGGTGTTCAAGGTTAAATACTTTCTTATGATTACGGAAAGTTAAACAGGGTTGAAATAGATAAAAGTTATGAATGGCATATTTTTGAAATGTGTTTGTGTGGCCTCGAGCATAATTGGGGCATAAAACATATACATAATAAAGACATGACAACACCGCAAAGGCAAATTTGTGTTTAACTGAAGATTCTTTTGTAGCTAACTTCATCAGACCGTTCTCTACACTTTAATCAAAGAATATAGACGCATATTGTAACGATGTTCTGATCGTTTAACAGTTTGAACCGTGGGACTGTCAATGTTTGCGCATCCACTTCTTCAACGACACGGCGAAGTGGGATCCAGAGCGGCTATTTAAGGTGTGTGAGTAGCGACAGTGATGTTCTACATGGTACAGAGAAACTCCCTCTGTTATCCGAAATTTATCCCACTTTTTATCGGAATATCCCTCCCCAATAGGTATCTTCGTTTATCGCGAGATGGCGCAGCGAAGTCGCGATAAACCAGAGATATGTAAGCGATAAACGAATATACACAATATATTTATATCAAATTAAACCAAAGTATAAATAATACATCTTTCGTAATTTTTAAAAGATTTAATTGAAAATACGAATATAAAAAATGTATATAATAAAAAGTATGTATAATAACGTATAACATGAAAAAATGTTGGTAAACTGAAAGTGGTTATGCTGAAATTTTATATTTTTGGGAGTAAATCACAATTACTGTTATCAAAAATACATGTTTTTCTTGTCAATATTAACACTAGAAGTTTAGAATGTGGTTGATACCTCAAACACCGCTTAGACATCGTAAGACAGCTGTCAATTATTCATTGACCTGTGACAGATAACAGTTATTTGTCAATGTGTGGTCACTTTATGCTAAGAACTCAACTTAAAAAACTGTAACCTAGATAGAAATCTCCATTGAAATTTAAGTTACTTACAGGTTTTGCCGATAGATGTCACATGTTGTAGATATTAATTAAAGTACCGAAATAAGTTATTTTGCTTAATATGATAATATCCCTCATTTTGATAGAAAAATCCCTTTATCCCATTACAGTCTTGTAGCTAGCGCTCTAGGCTCCTCGATTCGCCGGTGTACTGAACCTGCGAGCCAACCCCGACAGAGATATTTCCGTATTGAGGATCATACTCTGTCCTTAACCAAGCAGAACCCATCGGTATTGTGTATTGAACTTTGCCGTGGGGCCTGCACAGCCGAATATTTAGTTTGCGAGTGCGTTCGGAACTCCCGCTGAATTGAAGCGGAAGCGAGTATGTCTGCGTGCGATTGACTTCACTTATTTTATTTGTTTTGTTATTAATAATAACTTTTTCTTTCTTTTATAGAGGTTCGCCGGAGAATTCCTTCATCGCGGGATCCAGACGGGGACGAAGGATTCGTTTTATTTTTATTGTATATACGGCGGAGAATTAATTTTATTTTTATTGTACATACGTTAAATTATTAGATTTATTTTTATTTCAACCTGTGTTTTACTGAGTCTGTCGTCCCGAAAGAGCTACCCGTTACAATATATGCGTCTATATTCTTTGAATTAACCGTTATTTCATATTACTATTCTTACTGTATATAATAAATATAATAAAATGAATAAACCTGATTAACGGTAGGTACTATTATTAAGTTCAACCATTGAGTTTTAACGCAAAAATTACGATATTTTAATTCGCCTGATTCCCCTGTTGCATATTTTATATTTTTGGGCGTCTAATATGATCCTCTATATTCAAACTGTTACTTACAGAAAGATATGACTAAATCTTAATCAAAAAGGCTGGATACTACCCGAAAACATCTAAAAAAATGTGTCGTAAAAAGAAAGAAGGGTATAAGTTAGAGCTGTAAAAACTTTTATATAGTCTAATTCAAGGAGAAAGTAGATAAAATCTTTTGTAAAATATATCAAATCAGCAGATAATGGGAAACGGGTGTACTTTAAAAAGTTATATGAATTAATTTTTTATGATTACTATAAAATGTCTAATAAAATATTATTCGATTCAACGCCCACTGATAAAATAAGTAAAAATAATATAATAAAAGGATAAAGTTTTATATAACTTTTACATAACGATTAAAAATTAAAACTAATTAGAAAAAGGCGTCAATATTAACTGTTACAAAAGTTTTTAGATTAAAATGAGTCAATTTTGATCATTTGAAGTAAAATATTACTTCTTTAACAAAAAACAAGGATTTCCGATTATCACCACTTCATATACTTAAAATTAATAGGTGCAATGCAATAATTTCTTGTATCTCCACCTCTGGTACTGATTTAGGTGGATTGAGTAACTCCGTAACTATCACTGTAGATCTCAAGCCTGCATAAAGGACAAGGGTTTGCGTCAGGAAGGGCATTCGGCAATAAAAAACCTTGCTAAAACCATGGAAAGAAGGAATACGGAAAACAGTTTAAGGGTTAGGAAGTTTCCCGTACGCGACAGACAGTTCTCGCCTGACCCCAGCGAAAAGTTACCCCTTAGAGGACGGAAGGGGCAAAAGAAGCTAGTCCTGAGGATTACAACTCAAGGATTGGTGTACTTTGTAAAAAAAACTCGTTGGAAAGGTACTAAATCCAGAGTTATTGGAGATGGATGCAGTTAATATACAGTAGCGCAAACAGTCACAGAAATGGAGTGGGTGTTATTTTGAACAACAAGTAGAACGAATATCTAGCAAGTGGAACCAGAATAAGTGATAGAATAATGAATGTCCAACTGAATACAGGCGATACCGCCATGAACATCATATATGAAGAGCAAGAACAGGAAGAACTTTGGAGTGTTTTTGATTGAGAAATGCTTGTTATTCCTGTAGATGAAAAGAGTTTTATTGGAGTTAATTTAAATGGAAGATTGGAAGAAAAAAAGCGGGAATAGAAAGAGTTCATGGAGGTTAGAGGATGAAAATAAGAAATGATCAACTAAATAGTGTGATTGATTTTGCAGTGGCATGGAATTTAACTGTGATTAGTACGTTACCTATGCGAAAATATGTTACCTATACTAGTCGGGGAAGGGAAAGTCAGATAAATTTTGTGCTGTATAGAAGAAGCCAGCTAAAAGAGGTTCCAATTGTAAAGTGATAAAGGGTGAGTGTGTAGCTAGTAAACACCGATCGGTAATGGTGGATACCAATATAAAGTTAAAGCGAAGAGGAAAGCAAGTATGATATCAGGAAGTAAAGCAGACGAAGTTAAAGGATAAGGTCTTCAAGAGTAGAGTACTGGAAGAGGAAAAAGATTTGAAAATAAAAAGGTGGGAAGCCAATAGGAAGGTAGTGGTAAGAATGGTAGAAGAAGTGTTACATTTGGTAAAGGGCCTCTTAGAGATAAAAAAAAACTTAATGGAACCATGAGGTGTAACAGAAGTTTAGGGAGAAGAGACTAGAAAGAAGTATGAGAGGTCTAAAAGAGAGAAAGATAAGAATACATACAAGGTAGAAAAGAAAGAGGAAAGCAAAGCGCGCTGTGGCTACTGCTAAGGGAAGATTGTCTGCAGAGCTGGATGAAGAGTTGGAAACACCCAAGGGGGTTATACAGCATTGTTTAAACAAAAAAAGCCATTTTGTAGAAGTGGCAGCAGTATCAAATCCAGGTTTTTAAATTCCATTTTATTTGAGCCTCCAATTACTCCTTTATCGATGGCTAATTATAAAGTCTTAAGATTAAGAACAAAGGCAACAAAAATAAAAAAAAATCTCTATTGAAATACGAAAAATAAAGAAACTTCAAGTATGTATCACAAATGATATTCTATCCAGTTTTAAGAAATAGCTTTAAAGCTAGCTCATACAAACAAGTCACGAAAAAAAAAAAACAAGAATACTTGTCGAGCTTTCGTATATTCAGTAAGTTGCACATGGTTTTAGAAAAATAAATACTCAATACAGATTGAATCTAAAGGCAAAAAAGTACGAAAGAAGAAAAAAAGGGGAAAAAATAATTTGGTTATTATTTTTAAGTATCTGTCCCATAAGTCAAAATAACTAATCATCATCTCCCAGCTTCGTATTGAGTCCACTGCTGGACAGAGTCCTTCATTCAACTGCTCCACTGTTAACTTTTTTTGCAGACTGCTTTCACTTTCAAAGAAGAATAGTAAAGAAAAACAAGGCTTACTTTTCACTCACCCATGTGTTCCGCTTCAAAAACACACACTGGAGATCGAAAATCAGGGTCTACAAAACTATTATCAGATCAATAGTATATTATGGATGCGAAACATGGGTGATGAAAGAAAACACAAAAAGAAAGCTGAAAGTTTTAAAAGAAAAGTCTTAAGGAAGATATTTGAAACTATTAATGAAAACGGACTGTGGAGATGGATGGAGGAGCAACCATGAAATTTACTAACTTTTCAAAGAGGTAGCGATTTCAGAATTCGGTAAACTTATATTTGCTGGTCAATTAGTGCCAATGGAGAGCAAAAGGAAGGACAAGCAGTTCCTCTAAACCCCTAAAGAATTCCAGAACCTCTAAACACGTTAAAAAAATTTGGGAATAATATACCACACTGCCGTATCACCAGAAGTATTACGAATCTTCACGCTGGTTGTTGTTATATACCCATTTGATAAATATTATTTCTCAAATGGCTTTATCTGTAATCTATCCGGTATTGACTAAGAGCTTCTAAAATCGAAAGCATTTCAATGGGCTGAGGACTTTCAAAATTTCAATAAACACAACAATCAATGTCTTATTGTATGTTTTGTTTTCTCGATGAGTAAGTTTAATGTAAGAATATAATTATTGTCTCCGTATTATATAAGGAAGCCTGCCTGATCTACGATTTGGTGAAAGTCTAGTTTTTCTCCAGTCTTTTGTCCAGATTGTTAAAATTATAACCAAAGCCAATATTTATGTTTAGGTAAACAAAATAGGTTCTTGTTTTATCAAAATAATGTAAAATTATTGACTAACCTCTATTTCTGGTTCAATTATAACTGGGGATGCACTTTTTGCTTTTTGCCATACTGTTTTCATATACACCAACGTACTGTCCCTCGATATCAAACTTCCAAATATATGCTTATCTTCACTTGTAGCTATACCTACGGCATTAGGTATTATCCTTGCAGTTTTTTCTTTTGTTATATCTTCCACTGTTAATATTGGAATCAATAACTAAAATAAAAAATGATAATTATTATTGACCTAATCATTCGCAGAACAAACATATGTGCAATATATAATAAAATAGGTAACAGAACATGTTACGAAATAATGTAGTTGGTACTACTATCAGAATTCATTATTTTATTAAAAAAACAAACATTATTTTGATTCGTTTTTGTTATTTTTTATCTTTTCTTTCTTTCTATTTAATTTTACTAAACTATGTTCATCAAACTACCTACTAATAATTTTCATTATCCTGCTAAACATTCTTTTCTCTTTCGGTTTTTTTTGTCTCCAGATTTACTGGACTAATAACTCTGCAATTTATTTAATAAATGACTGAACATACAACCGTCAAAGGCTGTAACTTTCAATCATTTTCAAGGTAAAATATTACGAGGGGAGATTTAAAAATACACATTAAAGCAAAAATGTTAACTTACTTTTGTAACATATCCAAACACATTTGAGTAAAACGCGAAATAGTTTTTTGTGATATAAAGATGACCCTGTAATAGAATGTCTCCTATTAGTGCACATGAGTAATAGTTCAATACTTTTTCGTCTTCTTCCACATTGGGAAAGTGCCTCATGAATTTTTTCTGCCTCGCTTTGGACGTCGTACGGATTTTTGGATCTTTGGTTGTTTTAGGACTAGGAGGTTCTGTTACTTGAGCTTGTGCCGTCATTATTGGTGTTGATGTAGACAAGTGTTTTAAAGATGCTCTGTAACAATAAAAATAGAATTATTATTCGCGACACTCGCTTTATTATTAAATATTAGGATATATTCGTATGAAAAAAATAATGATATAACAATAATAAATAAGAAAACACAAACATAGAACATATAAAATTAAAATTATTAAAGTCGAAGGTTACAGCCCCGAAGTCAATATCTTGCCTTTGGAGTGAGTTGGTGGATTTCTTGAAGACTGCCAACGAACTTGGTGGCTGGCTACTCGAAGACGATGTGGTTAATTGTTTGTTCCACAGCGCTGCATTTGTCACATCCCAGACTAGCATTTATACCTCACTGGTTCAGAGATTTGTTACAAACTCCATGACCAACTCGTATTCTATTAAGGTTGTGCCATTCACGACGAGGAAGAGAAAAGCCGTCTGGTTTAATTGTAGGGTTTTCTATGAGATTAGCATATCTGATATCTGGATTCCATTCGTCCATCCAGTGCTCCTCAGTAGTGAAATCAGCCAATCTTGTAGTAGTTCGAGTAGGTGGATGTCTGGATTTCAGTCTTAAGTCTCTTTGGTCTAGCTCAGCAATGTCTGTATTTCTTGGTAGTGCTGGGTTTTGTTAGCATTTTTAAACCAGGGTGTTGAGTGCGGCTAGTCGTCTTGTTACTGATGGAGCGATGTTGCTTAAAACTGGAAGCCATTGGGTTAGTGTGGGCTTTATAGTTCCAGGTATGTGGCTCATTGATTGGTATAACTGGGTATCTATGACTTATGACTGTTTAGCCAGACAGGAGCGCAATATTTTGCAGTAGGATATACTAGACCCCCATAATGTATTTGCTAATTTCTGAATAATGTTATTGCGGGTCTTTATTTTTGCTGAAATGTTTTCCAAATGCTGTTTAAATGTAAGGGTACGATCTAGAGTTACGCCTAGGTATTTTGTATTCGAACTGTGCTTTAAAATGGTTCCATCGTATTCTATGTTCAGTATGTAATTTGCCTTGTGATTGTTAAGATGGAAAGCTATTACTTCAGTCTTCGATGGGTTTGATTGTAGACCCCATTTCATAAAGTATCTGTTAACAGTGTTTAGATTTGCTTCTATGATGGTTTCGGCCATGGTTTTGTCAAGGTGGTAGTTGGTACATTTGACGTATAAATATTAAAAACAAGAGGAGATATAACTGACCCTTGTGGTAAGCCGGTTTGCAGGCTTCTGAACTTACTGTTTTTCCCATTTAGGTGTACTTGGAAAAGTCTGTCACTTAGCATTTGGTTTATCAGACTGTTGAACAAACGGCATGGTACTACCAGGTCTATGAAAGCTGCTACTGTTTTAAGTTTCTTCTGAAATCCGTTCTCAATAAATGTTGTTAGGGAGAAGACTTGATCGCCACAGATTCTTCCCGACATGAATCCAGCTTGTTCTTGAGGAATATTTGGCTTTGCAAGGTAAAATAATCTCGTTTGGATAATCCTGTCAAATATCTTCTAGTAAACGCTTAAAAGAGCGATTGCTCTAAAGCTCTCAGGTAGTGCACGATCTTTTCCAGGTTTAGATATTACGATGATCTTACTTTTTTTTTAAAGTTAGTTTTAAGTTCCCATAAAACGGTTCGAGGCATTTGTAAGGTGGTGCTAACCAAAGTATGTTAAGAATCCCATATATACACCACACAAATAACATAACTATTCTCCACAGGCTAAGAAAAGCGCGCTCTTTGACGAGAACAACAGTTAAAAGGAGCACCGGCAGCTGTAAATGGTGGTATGCCAGTAAGGACTGCTGTAGTGAGATACAAAATTCTCTGTAGCATGCTTCGTGACCACGTAAGTAGTAAAAACACTACAAAAGACTTGGAAAAAGGATCATATTTATCATCTTTTCAAAAAAATGATTTTTGTAAGACAATTTTTAAGCTAGTAGATGTTGATGTGTCTTTGACGGGCAAATTAATTCGACAGTCAGTGTATTTCTTCTGTATGTAAAATTGCATCATAACCCAATTTACTGATTTCAAAGTAATGGATAGTCGCAAATGGTGAAACCTGTTTCAGAACAAAAAGCACGAACAAGAAAAACATAAAGCATGAACCCTGGAAGAGCAGCCAAACTTAATAAGTTTATAATAAACTACTATTTTAACAAGTTAAAAGAGGTTCTGTCTAAATTGGACGTTTTTGTAAACTTAGTGGAAAGATAATCTTCCAGCTGGTTCGACCATGGAAATGACAGTGGAAGGATCAATGACAACTTTTAAAAAATGAACACACCACTTTGTAAAGTTCAAACCGCAAGGTTTATACCTTGCTGTTTGAATCCGTTTTACTGATTTTCGATGGGGTTGAATCTCACTCATAGACGCAGGTATTATTGATGTTGACACTTTTTTGTATGCCTAGCAACACTACTCACGAGCTACAGCCTATGGACAAATCTCTATTTGCACCTTTTGAAGGATATTGGGACCAAGAGGTTCCAATATCCTTCAAAAGGATCACGAGTTGTACTGGATCACGACAAAAACTACCGACGGGCGTAGTATTAATAAAAGAATTTTCTAAAATATATTTTCCAAAGTCTCGCCAACAGCTGCTACATCTAATAATCTTTCAGCTGGATTTTGTTCCACAGGCATCTATCCCTTTCATCCCAATGTAATTCCGAAACAAGCATTTGCTTTAGCTGAACTTTCCAGCAGAGATATTAAAAATGATGAAGAAACTCCGTCACAATCGAAGACCAGTGACAGTACCCATGCACTAATAACATGACGAAATCAAGAAAAAGTCTCCTTCTAAGAAAAAGTGTATCAAATGAAATGAAAGATTTATTCTCAGTTAGTACAACTTCAGTTTCCGACATAGTGTCTCTTCACGCTGAATCCAGTAACAATGAAGGTGTTTTGAAACCTTGAAATTCTTCGAAGCCATGAAGTGAAAAAAAAATTGACAAGCCACGAATCTTCTTCTTCTTTGGGTGCCGTGTCCGTATTCAGACGTTGGCCGTCATCATGTTTACAATTTCCTGAAACCATTCTCTGTCGGTTGCTGCGCGAAATAATTCTTCTACTGTGAAACCACACCATTGTCTAATATTACGCAGCCATGAAAGTTTCTTTCGACCAATCCATCTCTTTCCTTCCACTTTTCCTTGTATTATAAGGCGAAGTAAATGGTATTTAGGTCCTCTAATTATATGGCCGAAATATTCTGTTTTTCTCCTCTTTATGGTGTTTATGAGCAGACGTTCTGAATTGATCATTTGAAGAACATCTTCATTGGAAGTGTGCGAAACCCACGATATCTTTAGGATTCGTCTATAGCACCACATTTTACATGCTTCCAACTTGTTTAGCATTGTGGTTTTTAACGTCCATGTCTCACAACCATACAATAGGATCGACCACACATAACATTGCAGTATGCCACGAATAAATTCTCTTAATTATACAGCTGTTACAGCAACTATTTATTGAAAAAGAAATCTTAAACAATGTTAAAAAATACGAAATATAACAGTATTATCGGTTCGTTCAAACAATTCAGAAATATGTATTTTGTATACATACCACAAAGACAGAGCAACGTGCACGGTTCAAGTTTTTATACAGTTTGATACTGTGCACATCATTTTGTGGTAAACAAAAGTGCCTTTATGATAACATCGGTAGAACTGGAGACCTGGCATCTGTCGATAAAATATATTTTATCTAGCGTGAAATTCTCTGTAGATGAGTAACCTAAATAAATTTTACTTTTTATTCCAAATATACAGGATGAATCACTACCAACGGGATGGAAGTATACAGCGAAACGATGAAGCATTTAAAATGTTCACCACTTAAGAAAGAATGGTCGAATAAATGTTGATGTCTAAAAGTTACATTTTTTCTTATGACTCTATGTCGTATTCACTTTTGTGTTCTTTAAATATGATGTTTAACCCTGCATCACTCGCGCCTTAAAAAATTACGCGAGAACTCGCGCGTGAGAATTTCTCTCACACGACGAACCCTTCAAGATTTTGTTCGGTGTAACTGTTTTTATTTTTTTTTATGCAAATGAAACAAAACTATTGGTAATAATAAAAGGGTTTATTTAAAATAAATGCCAAAAATAGAGTTATAAGTACATTAAAAATACTAAAAAGAAAACTTATACAATGCTAAGAACTAAAAAAAAATACCCTGTATATTTTATTTTACATCTATCTTTAAATTAATGTTATCCTTAAATCAGATAAAATAAACATAATATTAATCAAAAATTTAATCATCTGAAGTACCACTATTATCGTTTACGCCAGAACACGTTGGACATGTGAAGGTGGTATGCTCCGTGCAAATGGCAACATTGCAGCTAACACATCGTTTTTTTGACTTCCTGTTCTTTCTTCTTGGACAAAATCCACAGAAATCTGGAACAGATTCTCTGTTCTGTTCAATCTGAGGCATATTTAAATATTCCCTTAGCATGCTTCGAATATTAATTGGCAAAGACCTGATCGATGAACGACGAATCAACAGAGGTTTAATCAAAGCTTCGGCCAGATGATTGAGATAAATTCTACGTTCTTCAATAACTTCGGTATTACTTTTATATACAATATTGGAATTAATAGCAGCAACGTCCAAAATTGTAAAAAAAATTCTAAGTGGCCATCGGCAACAATATCTGGAAACAGAATAAGTTGATTTTAATTCATCAACCACATCGACACCTCCTTTTGTTAGGTTATAAAATGTAATGATCTCAGGTTTTTCCAGTTCGCCAGATTCAGGATCGATGTAGTCCCCAGAATGAAATGTAGATAACATCAATACGTTTTTCTGAGGTTTGGGTTTATACGATAATAATACAGTATTCTTTCGGAAACCAAACATGCTACTAGGTACAGGTCTTTTCACATTTATAAATATTGGCGGAATTTCCCTCTTGTTTTTCCTTAGGGTACCAACAAGTGTAGTTTTCCTATCAAGTAATTGTTTGGCTAACGGCACTGACGTGAAATAATTGTCCATAGT